GCCATCACGTTCTTTTTTGCTCATGTTCCTATAAGGTGTGCACATGTGAAACAATAAAACAATAATAAAGGGATGCAGATGAATGATAAATACCATATGTTTCAGATTTGATCAAATGTTTCCCAGCATAGCTACAATCTTCCCTTTTATTTATGAACAGATCATGGATTAAAGTGTATCAAACCCAAGAAAGAAACTTTTATATACTGCAACTTACCCGTCCTCAGATGTGCTGGCTGCATTCATTTTCTTGTTTTCAGAATGTTTTCACCTGGTGATCCTGCCAGTAACACACTTTCTGTCCTAGGTGACAACACTTACTGTACTGTATCTATGGAGAAACAGTGTTGTCTCCATAGGACAACAATAACCTTCCTTCTCCACTCCCCCATAACATAAGGATGCTATGTAGCCCTCAAAGATATGTTACCCTAAAGATTTCTTTTTCTTCTATGTGTGTTCATTTATGTGTATGTATAAGTCATAGTCTCTGTCATTTTCATGTACTTCTTCCATCTGAAGTACCTGGTTGATCCTGACAGTCTCCTTTCTTCCTTGTTCTATATTGACCACACAAAGCACAGAGGGTGATCTGTCATAACTGGTGAGTTTTTAACCTTTGGCTGGCCATAAAGAGCTACAGTACACTGTGCAGACACTCAGCATGCCTGTATTGGGTAATTTGTTCAGCCATCATACCCCTCAACCAATCACAGCCTGCCTCTGGCACACACCCCTTCCTAATCACAGCCTGCCTCTTTAACACGCCCCTGCTCAAGCACAGCTACCATGCCCCTCAACCAATTACAGTCTGCCTCTGGCACACACCCCCTCCCAATCATAGTGTGCCTCTTAAACCCGCCCCCTGCTCAAACACGGTTACCACATCCCTCAACCAATTACAGTCTGCCTCTGCCACACACCCCCTTCCAATCACAGAGTGCCTTTTGAACACACACCCTGCTAAAGCACAGCCACCACACCGCTCCACCAATCAGAGACTGTCTTTTGCCACACACCCCCTCCCAATCACAGGCTGCCTCTTGAACACACACCCTTGTAAAGCACAGCCACCACACCCCTCAACCAATCACAGCCTGCCTTTGCCACACACACCCTCCCAATCACAGCCTGCCTCTTGAATACAACCCCTGCTCAAGCACAGCCACCCACACCCTTCAACCAATCACAGTCTGCCTCTGGAACACACTTCCTGCTCAAGCACAGTCACCACACCCCTCAACCAATCACAGTCTGCCTCTGGAACACACACTCTCACAATCACAGCCTGCCTCTTGAACACACTTCCTGCTCAAGTACAGTCACCACACCCCTCAACCAATCACAGCCTGCCATTGCCACACACCCCTTCCTAATCACAGCCTGTCTCTTGAACACACCCCCTGCTCAAGCACAGCCACCGCACCCCTCAACCAATCACAACCTGCCATTGCCACACACCCCTTCCCAATCACAGCCTGCCTCTTGAACACACCCCCTGCTCAAGCAAAGCCACCACACCCCTCAACCAATCACAGCCTACCATTGCCACACACCCCTTCCCAATCACAGCCTGCCTCTTGACCACACACCCTTGTAAAGCACAGCCACCACACCCCTCAACCAATCACAGCCTGCCTTTGCCACACACCCCCTCCCAATCACAGCCTGCCTCTTGAACACACCCCCTTGTAAAGCACAGCCTGCCTCTTGCTTCAGGCTGAACAGACTATGGAATACAGGCACAGTGTATGTCTGCACAGTGTCCTGTTACCCCACCCCCATCAGGAAGAAGAGGTGCCTGGTCACATGGCAGAACTTTGTATAAAAGGTAAGAATTACCATTTGTCAAACTGCATAGTTATACTGGAATTAGAAAGTGTCTTTAACTCAGGAGCTTCAGGATATTCAGGGGAGTGGCTTGTTACCAGAAGCTGAAAATGCATGCAAAACGCATCCTGCATATGTATCATTGGGGGAAATTTATTAAACTGGTGCAAATAGAATCTGGTGCAGCTCTAGATAGTATCCGATCAGCTTCTAACTTCTGCTTGTTCATTTAAACTTTGGCAATAAAAGCTGGAAACTGATTGGTTACTAGGTAGAGCTGCACCAGATTCTATGTGATCCAGCTTTAGTAAATCTCCCCTACTGACTTCTTTGGGCCTCAAAACACATTAACCTCTTCACGCCGGCTGAATGCAAAAAGTGGCAGCACATTTGCGTTATATTAAAAAAAAAACATATGTACTTAGAGCGTGCGCCCTGTGCTCTCCCAGCACACATGTCCAGTACTCACGGAAAGGTCCCGATCTCCTCTTTCGATGGGACCTTTCCTGATCATGTGACTGCCATGACAGCGTGTCATGGCGGTCACATGACCCTAAACCCCGCCCCGCCACCTGGATTCTGGAACCCTTAAGGGGCCGGGAGGCACCAGCACCAAGGGGTTAAACAGGACAAAAAAAAAACTAACCTGAGTGAAAGGATCTGCAAACTAAACATTTCATATCCCTGACGTGCCTACTGTACCATTTACTTGTATGGAAAAGTATCCAGTTCTCTTTGTATTTCTTTTTGTGTGAAATCCCTGGTGTTTCTGCCAGTCCCCGTGCTTTCCTTGTAAAAACTGACCACACTAGGCACGAGTGTATAGCGTGGTCAGTTCTCTAGCTGTGCTGGGAACTCAGTCTGCTCTCCTCTAATGATCAGACTTGTCTTGACAACCCCCCCCCCCACCACACAGCCATTCACTAGGAAGATCAGTGTGCTGCTGTTTCTCCTCCCTGAGCTGCACGCAGCTGAGAACAGAGAATATGCGATCACTTATCAATAAGGGGGAAAAAGGTATTTAAAATGTTTTTTTTATATGTATACACAAAGGTTTTGCCTTTCATTTCTGTTTTAAACTGAATGGGTTGTTTTACAAGGTCAGGGTTTACATTCACTTTAGTGTTACTAATCTCTGGACAGTGCATTCACTATATCTGGTCTCCCACGGTACACAGAACATGGAAATGCAATTATTTTAGTAAATACAAACTGATAAATACCTTTTCTCATCAGCAATTAGAGCAGTCTTGTGACTTCTATCAGTGTCCAGCAGAGCACTGGTTAAAGCTTGTAGGAGGAGTTTTCATTTTGCTCTAGGAGGATGCAGGACCCCTGACCACTGTCTGGATAGTGCTGATTGGCCCTGTGCTGATCACATGTACTCTCTCAAGCAGAAAAAAAAAACCCTCTCTAGCAATACACACCAAACTGAGCATGTGCAGAGCGACTCCACAGGATATGGCTTATCAGGAGATAACAGGTGGACACTGGAAGAAGGGGAGGACAGGATCAAACAGCATTTTTACACAATGCAGGGGATCAACCTCTTAAGTTCCACAGTGAGTATAACAAGCATGCTTTCCGGCATATACAGACTGTTTTTACTGCTGTGGGTTTAGTAACACTTTAACTCCAACAACATGATTCACTGCAATGTTAAGATTCATTTGATTATTATTTTCATTCGATTGTAAGCTCTTATGAACAGGGTTCTCCTAACCCTTTTGTATTGTATTGTATTGTTGCTGTACTGTCTCCCATTATATTATAAAGCGCCATGCAAACTGTTGGCGCTACAGAAATCCTGACTAATAATAACAATAATACACACAGGCTCTATCTATAACATTGCCATTGATGGTGCATACATTACCATCCATTCTGACGCGCGCACTTCACACCTGTGTGGTTTAAAATGCATCAAAAACACATAAAACCAATGAAATTCAGATGCAAAGCTGGGAACCTATCCTTGTTGTTAGTCTAGGATCACATCTATGGAATACAGCAACGCATGTCATAGAGGTGTGTTTTTATGTACGTTTTACATGCATTGCATCAGACGTCTATACAAAGGATCACTAATGACCAGTTGTATGAAATATTTATCAAATGATTATCTACTCTAATATTTTACTTGTAAGTAGTTGTGCACCCCTACATATACCCCGTGAAGTGACTGGCCTCTGGCAGTACACAGAGATTAAACAGATCCTCCTACATAAGTTGTACCCTGATGAAGTGACGTGACAGTGATGTAATGCGTAGGTCGCAGAGCGGAATGTGGTGACGTCATTTCCGACACGAACAGCCGCAGCCATATTGGTACACCCAGTACACCCATATCAGCACATGTGATTGATGCCTTGTTTGATCTGTTCCCATGTAAGTGCGCATTTGTCTTTACAATAAATTTGATTCATTTACAATATTACACTATGGAAGCACTTTTTCTTCTCTCCCTGGGAGTGCTGTGAGCTGGCTGTTTTTTCTGGTCCAACGACCCCTGGCAGGAGTTCTGTGCGCTGGCTGATTTCCGTGTCCAAAGGTGAAAGATATATTACCACCACTGAACAGCATGGTCCACCAGTGAGGGGGATATCATCCCTACATCGCCGTTTGGGATTCCACTTAAAGGGCCCCTGCAGTGAGTGTCCTGAAAGCTTTTTGGCCCCTTGGGGTCTGGGCGCGGAGGTGAGGAGGCATTTTAGCCGGAGTGGGATTCAATAATCATTTACCTATCCATTATTGTTTTTTTTCTTTTGGATGCATTTTTGTTGGACGTTTTTGCACATGGACTTTATGTTGCATGTATGATTTTTTTTGTCACATGTTAGTTATTTCTTCATTGTGTTATTGTATTTTACGGTGCACAGTAATACATTTATTTGGTTTCACTGTGCGTTTGTATCACCATTTTCTGTTTTTATACTAGTTGCATTCTTTATATGTTTGCCACATTTATTTATGGTATTTATATGGTCACTTATTAGTCGTTTTATGTCACATGGCCTTTTGATACACATTGTGGTATGACTCTTTAGTTGCATGGTCACATTTTTTGGCCTCACTGTGCATTGTTATTGTCATTCTTCTGTGATAAGTGGTTTGTCCACCTTTAACCTCCCTGGCGGTATTCCCGAGTGTAGCTCGGGGTAAAATTGCAGTACCAAGAGCGGTAACCCCGAGCTACACTTGGGCTTACCATGCGGCGTTGCTCTGGGGGTCCCTGCAGCACTTACCTTGTCCTTCGCTCCCACGATGTGTCCCCTGCAGCGTCCCCGGCCATCTCCTCCGGCCGATGCCGGCATCCGGCTTCCGTGTTCCGGTCCCTGTGACGTCGGGACGTACGGGCGCCAGAACTGGCAGCAAATTTGAAATTTTTGAAAAATTTCATTTTTTTTAAAATGATTATTATATAGTAAAACATTGCTGTTTCAATGTATTTCACATACATTTTGTCAATACTGCTTTGTCCTGCGCCCTGCCTGCATTTTGACTGTTTTCTGCCTGGAAACTTAGAAAAGCCCATGGCATCCAAAAAGCGTCCCTTTAGGTCAAAAGCAGTTTTAGACCAGCTAGAGAACAGCGATAGTAAATCAGAACCACTTGCAGAATTGAGTGATAATGATTCGTGGAGAAATTCGTCATCAGACACTGAAAACGATTTTGCAACTTTGCTCAGTGATGTGCGAATTTGCCTCTGTATTTCAAATTTTAGTGTTTTTGGTTTGATTATATTATTGAATTAAATATATTATTATTATATTATTATTTTTTATGATTATTTATTAAATTATAAGTTATGATTTCGTGTTTCAAGTTTTATCATACCTGGGATGTTTACTAGACTCTTGTTCGTACAGATTTCAGTGAGTTATTCCTAAAAATTACAGCCTACAATAAAAAACTACATATTTCCATGCAAAAAAATGGTACCGCTTTAGGCACAAAAAATCGGAAATAATCATACCGCCAAGGAGGTTAATATTTAAGCACTTCATTTTGTTTTTTTCACGTTTTGCTCCACTTTCTCATCAGTTGTATTCAAATTATTTCATTTATGTTATGACGGACTTGTATGTTCCACTATTACTGTCATTTAGTTAATATGTTATTTTTCCCCAATCATTTCCATGCATCTTGCTCACGGTCACGGTTTGTTGTCTGTTACACCTTTTGGTCCTTATTTTGGACCTTTATTATTTCACCTTTCCCTTCACTCCCATATTCCTTCCATTTACTGATTATGTTATGGTGCATTATCTATTGTCTTCTCATCTCATTATTTGTTTTGGAATGTCTGTGGCATTATTATGATTAGCGCAGTATCAATTTTCTGTTTGTAGACCCTGAAATTGTTATCAAACTCTAATATAGAAATTTGAGAAAAATAAAATCGCATTTTCCATCCATTAGTTGGAGTTCAGCTGCATCACCATCGCCAGAGTTACAGATCAACTTCTCTGCAGCTTCACACAGGCTGCCATGGCCAACAGCCCCACCTAGAGGTCACAATGAAAATGGCATTTTAGAAGAATTCAAATGTACTGCAAATGTTTTACATTATTGTTATTATTATTATTATACAGGATTTATATAGCGCCAACAGTTTGCTCAGCGCTTCACAAAATGAAGGTAGACATTACAGTTACAATACAATTTGGTACAAGAGGAAACAGAAGGTCCTGCTTGTTAGAGCTTACAATCAGGGGCGGACTGACCATTTGGAAACTCGGGCACTGCCCGAGTGCCCGGGGTCGGTATGGGGGCCCTTGGTACCTTTTTTATAGGCTTTTTTGAGTTTGGCCAAGGACACAGGGGCCCCATGATCCCCTATTGCCCGGGGGGGCCCCATGAGTTGTCAGTTCACCCCTGCTTACAATCTAGGAGGAGCACTTGTAATGCCCTTACTATAAGCCCTGGTTCACACTGATGCAGTGCGGAATTTGCAGCGTTTTCAGTGCAAATTCCACACCGCATCAAAATCGCACCTTGTTCAGTTAACAACACCCCAAAACACAGTGCGAAGTGCAGAATCGGATCGCATAGGTGTGAATACCCATGCGATCTGATTCTAGTGCGGACCAAAAAAAGTGTCCTGCATGTTTTTGCTGCGGGTGCGGTGGATATAGAGCCATACAAAATGTATGGCTCCAATAGCACTGCACACAAATCACATGTGATTTGCACAGGAATTCGGTGCGGTTCCTGTGCAAATCACATGAGATGTACCAAGCCGCATATGTGTGAACCCAGGATAAATGTTTTTAATAATTTATTTATTACAGGTACTTTTATAGCGCCGTCAACTTACGCAGCGCTTTACATATTTATCATACATTCACATTAGTCCCTGCCCTCAATGAACTTACAGTCTAAGGCAGGGGTGGGCAAACTTTTTGACTTGAGGGCCGCAATGGGTTCATATATTGGACCCGGGGGCCGGACCAAGAGTAGATGAATGATGTGTATGTGTCATCCATAGTAAGTATAGTAATATTCCCCCATAGTAAGCATAGTAATTAATCCCCCATAGTAATTAATCCCCCATATAGTAATTCATCCCCCATATAGTAATTCATCCCCCATAGTAATTCATCCCCCATATAGTAATTCATCCCCCATAGTAATTCATCCCCCATATAGTAATTCGTCCCCCATATAGTAATTCGTCCCCCATATAGTAATTCGTCCCCCATAGTAATTCATCCCCCCTATAGTAATTCATCCCCCATAGTAATTCATCCCCCATATAGTAATTCATCCCCCATAGTAATTCATCCCCCACATAGTAATTCATCCCCCACATAGTAATTCATCCCCCATATTAATTCATCCCCCATATTAATTCATCCCCCATATAGTAATTCATCCCCCATATAGTAAGTCCCCCATATAGTAATTCATTCCCCATATAGTAAGTCCTCCATATAGTAATTAATTCCCCATATAGTAAGTCCCCCATATAGTAATTCATTCCCCATATAGTAAGTCCCCCATATAGTAATTCATTCCCCATATAGTAAGTCCTCCATATAGTAATTCATTCCCCATATAGTAAGTCCTCCATATAGTAATTCATTCCCCATATAGTAAGTCCCCCCATATAGTAAGTCCCCCATATAGTAATTCATCCCCCATATAGTAAGTCCCCCATATAGTAATTCATCCCCCATATAGTAAGTCCCCCCCCTGTGTCAATTCACTTACCTTTGGTCCGCGCGTTCCTCTCGTATTCCCGCGCCGTTCTGGTCTTCAGGGAGGACTGTGAGAGGAGTTCGTCACGCTGCCCCGCCTACATCCTGGCTGCCCCGCCTACATCCTGACAGCTGCAGAGTCCTGACGTCCGAGAGGAGGGAGGGGGGCGGCCATCCGAGAGGGGGGGCGGCCATCCGAGAGGAGAGGAGGGGAGAGGAGGAGAGGAGGGAGGGGAGAGGAGGAGAGGAGGGAGGGGAGCGGGCGCCCGGCACACAGGAGAGCCGCATCTAAATTTGTAAAGAGCCGCGGCTTGCCGACCACTGGCCTTGCGGGAGCCTAGCTCCGCGGGCCGGATTAAAAGGTCCGCCGGGCCGTATACGGCCCGCGGGCCGTAGTTTGCCCATTGCTGGTCTAAGGTCTCTAACTCACTTTCATGCATACACATACTAATGTTCCTATTAAATAAAAGGGTGGAATGGCCAATAATAAAGCAGAGTTCTGTAAAAACTGTAGCTGCTGACTTTTTTAATAAACACACACTTACAGTGGGGATCGAAAGTTTGGGCACCCCAGCTAAAAATTTGTATTAATGTGCATAAAGAAGCCAAGGAAAGATGGAAAAATCTCTAAAGGCATCAAATTACAGATTAGACATTCTTATAATATGTCAACAAAAGTTAGATTTTATTTCCATCATTTACACTTTCAAAAATAACAGAAAACAAAAAAATGGCGTCTGCAAAAGTTTGGGCACCCTGCAGAGTTAATATCTTGTACTGCCCCCTTTGGCAAGTATCACAGCTTGTAAATGCTTTTTGTAGCCAGCCAAGAGTCTTTCAATTCTTGTTTGAGATATCTTTGCCCATTCTTCCTTACAAAAGTCTTCCAGTTCTTTGAGATTTCTGGGCTGTCTGTCACGCACTGCTCTTTTAAGGTCTATCCATAGATTTTCAATTATGTTGAGGTCAGGAGATTGTGAAGGCCATGGCAAAACCTTCAGTTTACGCCTCTTGATGTAATCCCCCGTGGATTTCGAGGTGTGTTTAGGATCATTATCCATTTGTAGAAGCCATCCTCTCTTTAACTTCAGCTTTTTCACAGATGGCATCAAATTACCATCCACAATTTGCTGAAATTTTATTGAACCCATTTTTCCTTCTACTCGTGAGATGTTCCCTGTGCCACTGGCTGCAACACAACCCCAAAGCATGATTGATCCAACCCCATGCTCAACAGTTGGACAGAGGTTCTTTTCATTAAATTCTGTGCCCCTTCTTCTCCAAACGTACCTTTGCTCATTCCGGCCAAAAAGTTCAATTTTAACCTCATCGGTCCACAGAACTTGTTTCCAAAATGCATCAGGCTTGTCTATATGTTCATTTGCAAAGTTCAAACGATGATTTTTGTGTGTGAGGACGTAGAAGAGGTTTTCTTCTGATGACTCTTCCATGAAGACCATATTTGTACAAGTATCTCTTTATAGTGGAATAGTGTACCACAACTCCAGTGTCTGCCAGATCTTTCTGGAGGGATCGTGCAGTCAAACGTGGGTTTTGAATTGTTTTTCTCACAATCCTGCGAGCTGTTCTGTCTGATATTTTTCTTGGTCTTCCAGATGTTGCTTTAACTTCCACTGTTCCTGATGACTGCCATTTCTTAATTACATTCCGAACAGAGGATATTGACATCTGAAAACGCTTTGCTTTCTTCTTATAGCCTTCTCCAGCTTTGTGAGCGTCAACTATTTTCAGTTTCAGTTTTCTAGACAACTGCTTAGAAGAACCCATGGTGCTGATTGTTGGGGCAAGGTCAGATGAGTCTGGGCATTTAAAACCTTTGAGCTTGACATCACCTGGTCTTCCCAAATGATGATTGAGAACAATCCATGACACTGGCAGGTCTCAGCTTTGCAAAGGGGGCAGTGCATGCTATAAATTCTGCAGGGTGCCCAAACTTTTGCAGACGCCATTTTTTTGTTTTCTGTTATTTTGAAAGTGTAAATGATGGAAATAAAATCCAACTTTTGTTGACATATTATAAGAATGTCTAATCTGTAATTTGATGCCTTTTGGAGATTTTTCCATCTTTCCTTGGCTTCTTTATGCACATTAATACAAATTTTTAGCTGGGGTGCCCAAACGTACGATCCCCACTGTACCTGTCCCAGGATCCAGTGATGTGCTCACCCGCACAGTCCCTTCTCTGCCTCTTCTCTGCTTTGCGCCGGCATCACAACTGTAGGCATCAGGCTATGGTGTACATTTATGAAACAGAGATCAGCAGCAATCCTGAGGATCGTTGCTGATCT